TTTCGCCCCCCTCAACCAAGGCAGAGCACACAGCACAACCGCGAGTGCCACTCCGGCCAACGCAGTATTAAACCCCTGGGCCGCTCTTAAGCCTCGCAGAAACTCGCGACCAGGGTTGGCGACTCCGTGGGTGTCCACCGCACTCTGCACGGCGGTCGCAATTAGCAACCCGAACGTCCTTCCCAGCTGGTTCGAGGTGCTGAGCAAGCCCGTGCCGACGGAATGATCACACCGGGGAAGGGTTTGGACAATGAAAAGGGTGAGGACTGGCCCGACGATGTCGGCGCTGATGCATAGACACATCGCGGGAAACCCCCACGCCCAGTAACTGGTGTGGGGAGGGATGGGCACGGAAAATAATAGCGGCGAGGTGAGGCCGCAGACGGTGGCGAAGATGAGTAGGTAGACGTGAGGGATTGTTGATAGTGCTTTTGGGATGACGGCGAGGGAGAGGACTGGTTGGTTAGCACCTTGCATGGCCGGGAGCATCGCATCGCTGTGGCGATTGGTTACAAAAGAAGGAAAAGAAAACTCACTGCCTGCTAGACCAGCGGGGAGGAACCGCAATGTCGTGTCAAGGGAGCTTAGTTGGAGACTGTCCTGGTAACTGCATTGATCGACGCCGGACAAATGGTCAGCCACTGGGTTTTGGAACGGAGAGCTTCCAACGGAGAACAAACGTACAAATACGTTGCAAAATACAGAAAACTCTGGAATGAACCGAAGAAGACACAGGCAATGAGCAGCGACAGGGAGACGTGAAAATTATGGAATAAGGATAGCCGGACCAACGGCTGTCGTTTGGTGCGATGTTCAAGATACCATTGCCAGGCGCAGAAGCCGATGAGCACGAGAACCGACACGACGGTGAGGGCGGGTATCCAGGGCCGTTTCCAGCCCAGGGAGCTCCCCTCGGTGACAGCAACCAGCAGCATCAGAATCCCACCAGTGCTCATCAATGCGCCGACCCAATCCAGGTCACGCCCTCTTCCCCCCCGGCCCGCAGCACCAGTGGCGGACGCAGCCCGGGGGATCATGAAAAAGGCTGCGACTGATATGGCCGCCGTTACAGCGGCCAGGATCCAGAAAACCCACCGCCACGTCAGACTCGCCCCGATCAAGCCTCCCATAATATTGCCAACGACAGACCCAAGCGAGGACATGGCACTGTGCGCGGCGAAGGCGAAGTTTCGCCGCGGCCCGGGGGGGAAGCAGGCGCCGAGGATGCCCAATGCTGAAGGCAATGTGGCGGCTGCGAATGCGCCCTGTAAAGCGCGGACAATGTAGAATGGGATCTCCTGCGGCACGAATGGTGGGATGATTGTGAGGAGAGCTAGCAGAGTCGAGCCCTGGAGGAAGACGGCGCGTCGACTGTACAAGTCCGCCAGGGACCCCCAGAGCAACAGTGTACAGCCCATGGCGACATTGTATGCCGAGCCTACCCATTGCTGCCGGCTCGCCGGTATCTTGAGCGTTGACGCTATTGAGGGGAGAATGATCACCGTGCTTTGGACCATGGCAATCTTGAGACTTGATGTCAGCTCACACGGATGGAGGCTGGGCAGAGTTCAAGAGGCGATATACACGTACATTCAAAAATCCCGAGCATGCCAGGACCATCACCAGGAAGTATTGCTGGACCGCGGAGAGTGAGGGTTCTGTCGGTTTTTCTGGCTGGGAAATATCGGAGGCGTTGGTATCTCGGGAATGAGGCATCTCCACCGCATCATCCTGGTGGGTTGTCTTCATACTGTTGGACTTCGTGTAATCCGAAGAAACTGAACCTACGTAAATGGCAACATATAATCATCGGATTAAGTGTTGGAGACAATTATTCTGTGCTACGCGTGTTACTTAATATTTCGAGAAACAATTATTCCTTCAAAACACCCAGGGGAATTGAAGTAAAGGAGTGAAGTAAGGGGGCCAGGGATGATCGATCTTGCATATTCGGTGCCTGCTAGTCATACATTATCTAGGAAGTGGGAACCCAAATGATAGGTTTTTTCTATTTCTACCGATGGGCTTTGCTTTCTATATATAACCTGAAGCAACTCATGACGTCCTCCGGTGGTTGTGATTATCAACCTAAATCTGCCAGCCGGCCTTAAGATGAAAGTCCAAGCCTCCTTGCGTCCTCCAGGCGTCTGTCTTTCATCCCTTATGTTGGAAGATCAGTCATATCAAGCCCCACCGGATACCGATTTGGTATTTTGGAGCAGTGGCTGTCATCTTATTTACCATGCCGACGTAGGAAGACGCGCGGAACAGCCACAGTCCTGGAGCGGAGAAATTCGCCCGTGTTCTTACCAAGGACGTCCACACTGGACGAGGAGTTGAAACCGCGGTCGAGGTGCGAACGGAGCAAGAAATGGACCGTCCTCGTCCCAGGAATCTCAAACCGCTCAATCGGGTTGCCGGTGTACTCCACTGGACCAAGCAGTTCTTTGATCCGCTCGCAGGTGAGGAACGTCCGCAGCCATTCCCATTCATCATCGTGTTGTACGAAGAATCCGACATTGCAGTCGGCCCCTTTGTCTCCTGATCGTCCGCAAGCAACGCGCCCGAGTGGCGCCTGGTCCGTCTCTCCGAAGATTGCCAGATCGGCGGGCTTCTTGGTGTCGTAGGATGGCTGTGCTCCGTAGACTTGCGTGTGCTCAGGGGCATCGACCGGAACGATGCGTTGGTCGCCGAACATGCAGTGGACCTGGTGGCGGAGCGCCTTCTGCGGGATCAGCCCGGTGAGGTAGTTGTAGTATATTTTAGGGCTCGCTTGTCGCGGATCATTGGTGGGTGTGAGTGCCTGTGCGCCTTGCATGTTAGTGAGACCGATCGACCGGCCATCTCAAGGAAGGATCAAACGCACCGGACAACTTTGCAGAAAGGTCGACATGCACCATCGGTACAGGCCGCGGGGGACATCGGGCCGCAGAATCTCGGGATCCCGGGTCTGCGCAAAGACGCGGAACAAGACCGTGGCGTCGTCCTGCCGGGGTGTATCCAGTACCGGGGTACCGACCCGGTGGAACCGCAGCTCAGTAAACCGATGGATATCATCTCCCATAGCGTGCCGAATTTGCTCCTCGGTCCACCGGCACTTTTCATCGATATCGAGCCCGGTCATGAAGGCGTGGAATTCAGCCTGATACCCTCCCCGCGTGGTGATACCGACCTTGGTGGTTGGCGGCGGCGGCAATCCCCGGACACCGGTGACTCGAACCACATCCGGCGCGACATTCTCCATCGACACGCCGGAGATGTCGGCCACTACGTCGGAGTTCAGATAGTATGGTCCTTGGATCTCGTAGATGAGCTGGGAGGTCAGGGACGGAGTTGTGACACACCCTCCGGTGTCTCGCTCTTTGGATATCGTGAAAACGCCGTCGGCGTCTACCTCGGCGATGGGAAAGCCGACGTTGATATGCTTGCGCTGATTCAATAGATCCTTGAACCCGGAGTAGTTCCCACCTGGGATGATTTCAATAAGTGCAGCCATCAAAAGCAAATCCCTTCGCAGATTAGCGTCGACTTACCGGTCGCATATCCCGAGCATTCGATCAAATGGCCGGCGATCAGGGCGCGAGCGAGTTGATTGTAATCGGTCGGCGTCCATCCATGCCACCATCTAGATAGACGCATTCATCAGTCGCCGCTCATCAAAAAGACGCAGTATTGGGGGTCATGAGTCCATCCATGCTTCCGATCGGCCTTGACGACTTACGCTGCGGCTCCAACTACCGGCGAAGCGTCAGAAACCCGACCACAGAGAACGACGTCCGCACCCTGCGATAAAGCAGCAGCAATTCCCCAGCCCCCGAGGTAACACTGGGCAAAGACACACTCGGGATCAATGTCGGCCGCTTGTTGGCTGGCAATGCTGATGAGACCCGGTTGATCACTTTCAGTTGCTATCTGATCCTTCAGCACGGTGGTCACATCGTCTCCTTCAACCCAAGCGATGCGCAACGGGCTACCCGCTTGCTCCAGAATCGTCTGACAGTCCCGCGCCAAACGGGGTGTGTCCGCGGCCCCGGCGTTCACCACTAGCTTGATTTTGTTGCGGGAGAGATGCGGGATGGCGGGCTCGAAGCACTGGAGGAACTCTTTGGCGTATGCTGGTGGCCCTGGTTGATCCTTGCCTTTGTTGCTCGCCTCTAGAGCCTGAGCCTTGACGGCCGCGGTGGAAGCCATGTTGGACTCGGATAACCAGTCGCCCATGATAACATCGATGCTGGGATCCTGTGCAAAAGACAGGATGCTGTCCCAGCGATCGGTGTTTCCCCCGGCGCAGCCGGCAATCCGGACTGGCTTAGATGCCACCGTCATTTTGATCGGAAGATGGGAGGCTGTTGTTGCTCGCGATCAATGGGCACAGAGGGCTGGCTCAGATGGGTGAGGATGGGCGCGGGCGGCCTGGTTTGGGGTTTACGAATTGCTGATGGACACCGTCGCGCAGAAATGGGACCTCACCGGACAACTTCGACTGGGAAAACGATGGGAATAATGTGGCGGGGCATAGCAGTACGCAAAATTAGACATACGCTTCCCTTCCGATCGTATAGCTGTTGGTTTGAGCTGAACAAGGTGGGGTTACGGAGTCGATTCATCACAAACTTCCCTGAGTTCTCTTTGCTAATGCATTGACTAGGTACCTTAGTTCCTGAAAATCTTCTTGACCAGGGTATATGCCGCGCGTCAATGACTTCTACATGCATGTATTGACAAAATGCGCTGTGCTGGTGCCCAACTGCAAGATCATTCCTTCATCAAGCCAAGGACCTCGTTTGAGCAAGTCCACTGGCGGAGCAGTCAGTCTGCAGAGTAGCGGCCCGAGCGAGCTTGAAAATTTTCGTCCGAATGACAACCGCGCTTTTGATCAAGATCTAAGGTTTTTTTGGCCTATAATAGAGCCGATGCACGTAGAGATGGGGCTTATAGCAATAGAAATAATTGCTGACTATCATATCATCATCGGTATCTTCAATCCAGCCCGCTTTTTGCTTCAAGCCACCCTTGACTATACCCGAGAGAAAAAACAAAAGAAACATGGGGGACTATGGCATTACCATTCCAGAGTCAGCAAAGCTACTGCAAAAATTTCTCGACCAGCGATCATGGATCGAGTACGTACAGTTCCGATGGGTTGACTTCTCGGGGGTCTTGAGGATCCGGGTGGTCACCAAAGAGTATGCCGTCGAAATGGCGACGCAGGGCGCGTTCCTGAAATCCTCGCCCATGGCTTTTCAATGCATCGTGGACAACACCCTTGTTCCTGGCGTGGATCTCACCACGTCCAACGTGTACCAGCCAGATTGGAAGTCCATCTGCGCGACGAGTGGACCGCAGGGCCATGCAGCGGCACATGCAGCGGTGATGTGTGATGTCTCCGAGACGTCTCTTGGCATGCAAGCGCTTGGGCGAAAGTGCCCCAGACAGGGACTAGCCAATGTTCTTCGAGCTGGCGCAGACAGCTTGGGCCTGGCCTTCCTGGTGGGCTTCGAGGTCGAGCTGATCATCCTGCAACGCTCACCTGTCAGTGGCAAATTCATGCCGTACAGCTCGGGCTTCGGACGCTATTCGTCTCATGGATTGCGACATCCGGCCTTTCGGTTGGTGGAGAAATGCGTGGAGGAGCTGCGTGCGTCTGGGGTCTGCATCCAAGGCTTTCACACCGAGGGCTTCCGTGGCCAGTATGAGATGTCCCTGGGTCCGTTACCGCCGATTGAAGCCGCCGACCAGCTGGTTTTTGTCAACGACAAGATCAAAAGCATCGTATCTGAACACGGCTATTACGCAACTATGTCCCCGAAGCCCGTGGCTGACTGGCATGCCAATGGACAGCACACGCATGTGTCCGTGTCACCCAGCGCTTGCGAGGGACATTTCTTGGCCGGGGTGCTGCGGTGCCTGCGGGGCATCTGCGCCTTCACCATGCCGTACGAGGCCTCCTACCAGCGGGTTAAGCCCACAGAGGGGGGCATGGGCGTCTCATGGGGATCGGAGAACAGAGCGGTGCCCGTCCGCCGAGTCGCGGCTGGCCATTGGGAAATCCGCTGTGTCGATGCTACGACCAATGTCTACCTGACCTTAGCCGTCATTCTGGGTGCTGGGATTGTGGGTGTCCAGAGAAAAGAGGCCTTGCGCTGGCCTGATGCGTCCACCGTCTCCCTCTGCGCAGAGACCCCTGAGCCCCTCCCGAATTCGCTTGCAGATGCACTTGATTCGGTCAACGAAGACTTCGGCGCAATCACGGCGATGGCCGGGGATGATGTGATCTCCCGGTATCTGCAGCATAAGCGACATGAAATGGCGGTGCTGAAGGCCATGAAACCAGAAGATGTGCGGGGACTGCTGATCGAAACCTTCTGATGACATGTTTGTACCTGCAGCTAGATTGAATTTAGTTAGCCCCTGGAATTTGAATTGTTTGCCACCCAAAAAGTAGACCGCTATTCACAAATTCCAGCCAGCCACTTGCATATGCTAGATGGATACGAGCGGGGTTTAGATAGGCATGCGACTGCGATTCAATTTTATTTAGACCTGACCACGGGTGTAAGATCCAGATCGTGGTGGGCCTGTTTGACACTATATGGGCAGCAGGAGACAAACGAGGATTTTAGAATCTATTGGATGAATTTGTGATATGTGTGGAAATACTAGGGTATAGAAGGATAATATCTCCGTGAGCTAACCGTGCCTTACGAACAAAGTGGAGAAAGCTCTGATGACCCACAGTAAACAAAATCAAGAACTTTTGCAATCATTGCACCAACAATCTCGTAGTCTGTTACTGCCCTCGGGGCACCATAATCATTGAGAATCTGAGTGTAGTAAATACGTATTTCTAGATCAATTTGCCATAACCAAGAAAAAACCATGGCGACCAGTCAGTCCTTGCCATATTCTAGATACGGTATCGGAGACTGACCACATCAAGAGCTCTCTTCCTCCACCGCCGTAGCAAGTTGATCCAAGCTATGGAATCTCCAGGAAAAAGAAACCCGATCCTGCAATGTATCCAAATTCCCGCCCATTCCGCTCCTCCGCTCTTTGCCTCGTGAGATCCACACGCTGTCGATCCCCAACTCTTTGGCAGGGACGTGGTCATGCACCAGGCTCTGTGCCACATGCAACACCTGGCTTCTGTCAATCCCAAACTGGTCATGTAGCTTGGAGTGAAGATATTCGAAGTTGCGATGTGCGGGTTTGTAGGATCCGATGTCTTCGGCGGTGCAGATGACGTCGAAATGCACCCCGTGAAGCGGGCCTGCGAGGGTCTGACGGAATGACTCGTTGTCCACGTTGGACAGGATGGCCAGCCGAAAGTGGCGATTGAGTCGGTGTAGGGCTTCGTGTGTGTCTGGGAAGGCTTGCCATCCCTGGATCGAGCCGGAAAATGCTTCAGCTTCGTGCTCGGTCACCCCGAGCGCTAGAGAGGCGGCGATCTCTTCGTATGCCTTGCGTAGAACTGCGGTGTAGAGCATGGTAGGATGACGCTGCATGATACCTGCCTTGGCTTTTTGAAAGACGGACAGAGCATCTACCGTCGAGGTCCGTAGAGTGTGGTCCTCGGGCAGTCGAGACAGGAGTGGGGCTAGGGCTTGCAGCAGGCCATTTTCCCAATCCACCAGGGTTCCGTAGCAGTCAAACGAGAGGGCCTTGTACTGGCTGAAACGAGGGGAGTGCTGAGAGACGGTCATTGTGTTTGTTGTGATGTGGATTGAGTTTTTGACAAAAGCGCAGGCCAGCTGTGCCTTTTTATCACTGCGTCGGGATACATCACCTGCAGTCCCCGCGCGCAATACCGTACCCTCCCTCGAGGCGGTCATGCCCGACCTCAAGTGAGGGTCCATGATTTCTGATTCTTCGTCTTCTTTTTTACATCGCCACGTAAAAGCCACTTTATGCGCCGTGCATATCAAGAAAACGGACAGGGCGCTGTGGCTGCAGCTGAAAGTGCGGTGGACACATGCAGTGGAGCGGAGCCGATGGAATGCCCCTGAGTATGATGTCCCAAGTCATTCGATATGGAAGATCTCATAGCCAGGGCTGACTATAAATATTCGAATATCGAAACCAAGGTGTTCAGCCGTTGAGTAACCCTGTTGGAAATCATACGCAGCCGACGCCTGCCTTTATCAAAACGAAACTCACACTGCAACATGGGATCGCTAGGACAGCCGATGGAGGATCTCCCTGTCGCACAGCTCGATGTAATCGATTACTCTCGTCTTTTGAAGAATGACTCCCAAGAAGTGCAAAGGCTCCTTAGGGCATGTACGCAAGAGGGATTCTTCTACCTGGACCTCAGCGGGGGCGACTCCCGCGTTTTGCCTCAGGTGGATCAAGTCTACGCCTTCATGGAAGAATGGCTCGGTCAGTCGCATGAAGAAAAGATGAAGAATTACCAGACCAACTATACGGATGGGTAGGCACTGAGGAAAAGAGAGACCACAACCATCGTTCGTCGACTGATGCGGCTCCCCAGGTACAAGCCCACCGGCTACTTTGCGGGCGTCGACGACAAGAGCCGAGATAACTATGAGACTCTCAAGGTGGGTTTGCCCTTGTCAGGCCATTTATGCAGTCAATAGATCCAATATTGACGCAGAGAAATCCCCCACCAGGTCTCGCACAAAGCGTTCACAACCACGCCACCGTCGCTTCCCCAGGGGGTGCAAAAGCACGGAGACATGCTCCGCTCCTACTTGGACACGGCAAGCAGCATAGCTATCCAGCTTCTCTCTTCGCTATCCGATGGGCTGGGATTTAAGAACTCGGAGCGATTCGAGACCTTTCACGCCGACCGGGAGGACTCCAATTCGACCCTGGTCCTCCTCAAATATCCGTATATTGACCCGGCAGCCAGAAACAAACAAGTGGGCCACAACAAACACACCGACATCGGGAGCATCACGGTGCTTTTCACAGACCAGTGGGGGTTGCAAGTAATGCGGCCTGGGTCTGACAAGTGGGAATACATCGAACCACGTCCGTCATATGCCATCATAAACGTGGGCGACTCCCTTCGCTTCTTGTCCCAGAAGAAACTGCTATCCTGCCTCCACCGGGTTGTGCCAGCGGAGGGTAGCACCGCGGATCGAAACACCATTGCCTACTTTCTAAGACCATCTAATAAAGCCACATTTGTCGACAGCAACGGTGAGCTTTCGACTGCCGCTGACTGGCATGATCGGAAGTACGAGGTGTTCCGGAGCACGCACGATGACCAGCGGAAGGATACTATCCTTACGGGTGGTCTTGAGGCCGAAGGAAAAATCTCTGCCTGATTGGAATTGAGCAATGCTTATTTGGACCTGGGAATCTAAATATCTAAGAATATCAGAGGGGCAACATAGAACTTTCCAGGTACCCTCCAAATAGACCTGGTTGAGGCTGGACAGGTCAGCATCTATCAAGAATTGATTTGTTTCCACCCAGGAGCCGACCTCAAAAGCATCTTATTTGCTGGTACTATAATAAAAGCGCAGTAGTATTCATCGAATAATGGTATGGAAACGAGAGGAATCACTCGTAAAAAGATTAAGGACGGCCTGACAGTCTATCCATCTAAACTGGGGTGGACATTGTTGCGAAAACTTCCGTGCAGCGACTGTATGCAGGTATATAGCATGGCTGAATGACATGCTCAGATGGATTTTACCCTTACTCATGCCTTAGATACTTACCTCTCAAGCCTTCCATCTCATACCTTCTTACGATGCCTGACCAACATCTCTGCTGCTCGGAAGATACATCAGAGTAACTTTTCCCTCGCTATAAACTGTTCTGATGCTAACTTTTTCTCTTTTTCCCACTAATAAAGAATTTACTTTAGTAATCATCTACTGAATAAAAATGTACATTCACCAGAGGCCTTCTCTTCCTGTTTTGATAGATGAGTAGTGTAGTCAAACTTATCAAGACTAATCACATAAATCTCGCGGCCGAATCTCGGGGCCTATTAGAAAAAAAAAAAAAAAAAAAAGAAATTAGCCTGCGGCATGAAGAAAAGAAAAGAATGTATATAATAAAAAGTGTAATGATATCATGGTCTTTAAAAGCATACCTCCGTCTCTTTCCTTTTTGGTTTTTTGGCTTTGGAGTACCCAGCCTGCTCCGACTTCGGATTTTCCACCTGACTTCATCCGAAGCTCTACAGGGCCCATAGCACCCACGGCATATAACCATATGATATAGTGTAGCCGAACATTACCAAGGGTATAACTGCAGATCTCACACACGCAACACGGAGCAGCGGAACTATGTGAGGTACTCGGGAAACGGTGGTTCCCTATCTAACTTGGGCAAGGATCGGTTATCATCAACCGTAAATTACTTTCGGATCAGATAATAGAATCAGTGGACTTGATCAGCACTGATCAGCATGCACATCGGGTTGCAGTCGACATTGCGTCAGGGGCAACTTTGAACACAGTACCCACTGTTATTTCCGACCTAATATCGACAAGGGTCGGTGGGTCTTGCACATGCTACTGTACATAGAGGAGCCGAGATTTGTGAAGAGTCGCCGCCTTCATCTCTCAATCAATGTGCTCACGTCATTGAGTTGGATGAGGACCTTCCGAACGCTTTTAATAAGCTCACACTGTAAGCCAAGGCAAGGTTCTGGAGGCGTATAGGTTAAATAATCCGATGGTACTAGGAACGTCTGTCGTGGTATCCAACGTCCGGGAGCGTGCGGGTACAATATGTATGTGTCCCCGAGACCACTCTACCGAGATGTCCTACGCTTATTGTAGGGTATGTACGGAGCACATGGCATCTATCCGTCATCCTTAGAGAGCCGGTTTTACTCGGCGAGGTATAGTAGAACCGTGGCTTCAAAATACTAGATGCACCACCATTTTTTAGAAAAAAGGGAAACAGATAGCATATTTCAGGGAAGAAACAAGAACGAATGAATCCCGTTTCCCTTCTCAGTCATTCTTCGGCAAAGATATGAATGAATAGAGGAAGGAAGAAACCGAAGATTTAATTTATATCTATATCACCTGACCGAAATCCAATGAAGGAAATATGACCTGAATAGTGTCCCAAAACAGCCGTACTTGATGTCATCACCGAGAAATATGGCCTAGTCTCAGGGGAGGAGTCATAGTGCTTGTTTTACGTTCAAAACTGTCCAGGATTCTTGCTCTATAGGTATCTCTGGGTTCGTTTTCAATGATTCGAAGATAGGACTGCCAGGCGTAGATTGTATTTTGAGTGGACATAGGTCAGTCCCGAAACATGAACCATCTTGAGAAAATTCGAGACCACTAACAATCTCTCCAGGGCGAAAGAATCTTTGTAGGCCACCTGATTCTGGGTCCCAGGGTTGCACTGTCTGATAATCGGAGCATAACGTTAGCAACTGGCTATCAGGTGAGAAGACTGCTGAATAGACTGAACTTAAATGCCCAAGATTCTGCTGCAGAGTGCCCTTTACCACATCCCAGAGTCACACGTTCTGTTCAAGGCAGCAGGATGCTAGTAGCTTGCCATCAGGTGAAAAGATTACTGAACAAACTGTGTCTGAATGACCCCTAAAAGTGTGCTGCAGGACACTTGTCACCAAGTTCCAGACTTTTACTGTGCTATCAAAGGAGCCAGATACTAATAGCTGGTTATCAAGTGAGAAGGCTGCTGAACAGACTATTCCTGAATAACCTTCAAGTGTCTGTTGTAGGGCGCCATTAATCGGGTTCCAGAGCTGCAGTATATCATTGAAGGCACAGGATGCCAACAGTCAGCCATTAGGCGACAAACTAAACAAACAAACCGGGTCAAAATGATCCCTAAAAGTTTGCTGTAGGGCACCTGTTGTTCGGTCCCAAAGTCGTACCGTCTTATTAGCAGAGCTAGATGCTAGTAGCCAGCCATTGGGTGAAAAGGTCACTGATAGAATGAAATTTGAATGACTCTCAAGAGACTGTTGCAGACCACCTGTTGCCAGGTCCCAGATCTGCACTGTGTGAGCAGAGCCAGATGCCACCAGCCGGCTATCAGGTGAAAAGGCTATTGCTAATTCAAGATCTGCTGGTAGTTCGTATCGACATTCATGTTCTCCAGCTGTGTACGTTAGTCGCTATCGTATTTGGCAAAAGAGGCCAAAATCTCAAGCTGTTGTTTGCTGACAGGCGCCACAAGTTCGACCCTGTCCCGAAGGAATCGCTCCGTTGCCATCGGTCGACTAGGGGAACTTTCCTTTTTGCTTTATCAAACGGTCATCAAGTCCCCAGTAGACAGACCGAATCGAGTCATAATTTGGGACACGGTTTCGTCAGAATGATGACCCTGCACGGCCAAGTAATCGCCCGAGCGATATTCACAGTTTGCAGGGAGGGAGACTTCGACGTGACATTTCGCGGGCTCTATTGTAGTGCTGGCCAGCTCGATATTGGTGGCGACGACGCCTTTAACCATTTCGTCGCCGCCGAGGACTTAGGCGACGGGCTCTGGTGTACCGCGCTCGATCTACACGCCCACGCCAACTCCGTCGAGAGACTTCTGCATCGTTGTGTCTGACAAAGTCATGCACAACTGCTCGCTCCATGCTTCCCACGGGCCAATGAGATCGTGTTTCGCATTCGAAAAGCCAGCCTCCATGACGCGCTCTCCACCTAACTTCTCGAGAGCATCGTCGATGAATATTGGTACGCGATGGAAAGTGTGTACCCAGTCACTGTTTCCTACATTGAACACAGCAAATTTCGGCTTCTCTTGCAACTGGTACCCCTTTAACAGGAGCAGGAGACTCTCAATCCAGGCAACGAACTGCTTTGCGTTATCGGGTGGTCTGCCTTCTTACGACGGCGTGATATTGATGCATGGCCTGTCGGTCGGCAGGCTCCCGGTTGCAGCATCGAGTTCGTGGGTATCGAGATTAAAGTACTTAATACGCGTTCAATTTAACATCCAAGAAAGGAATAGACATGAGTTTGGGAAAGTTCGTAATATTTCTAACATAAAGCATAAAAGCTTACAGGTTTTATTGCTTTTCATAGCCGACCCCTGCTCAACTATATCGCGGTGTTATTCATGGTAACATTATGGCGTTTCAGATAACTGTTCGGTAGCGAAGAGTGCGCCCGTCCTTCGCTCAAAATTAAAGAGATGAGATGATGGAGTCTACAAAGACGCACAAAACGATCAGATTCGTAAAGATTCGCGAAGCCGTTCCAACCGACGCTGAACCTCGGAGTCCGGTCCAGTATTCACACCCTGGATCGCCGTGAATTTTGACGAGTTGGACAGATCGACCTGTGTCGGCCAGCCAGACTCCGGCTTTGGGAGCAAGTAGTTGGACACGGCTTGGTGTTGACGCTCTAGCAGGTAGGAGCACAGCTGCACTACCAGGACCAGTCGCATGTCCGTCAGCAACGTGGCACCCGCCGCTTGTTCCTGATCCACGGAATTAGCGTCTAAATGAAAATGGCGGTGGTCGATATCTCGCTGCAGAGAGCCAAACACAATAACGTAGATCTCAAGGAGCAGCGTGTGGCATGCGATCACCAGATGGCGCTCCGCGATGCTAGAGTACGGGTTTTCCAACACTTGCGGGGTCACCAGGGGAATTTCCTGTGCCGCGATGAACGGTGTGGAGCCCGTCCGTGTGCAAAATGCCATTTCAATGAGATGCGGAGGAGGGTTCTGCACCCCCTTGGCATTGTCACTCTGAAGGTCGCGCAGGGTCTCCATAAACTCGTGCGAAGCCGAGAAGACATGATGAAGCGTGTCGTCCATGGAGGATGGCTCCACAAAATCGGGTTTCAGCTCCGGGCAGGAGAACAGGTTCATATTCGCGGAAGCTTGGATCAACCACGATACCACCGAATTGAACGACAGGTCATTGATCAGGGGCATTGGGCACCCTCGATTAAGCGCGCTGCATGAGAAGCTCGGTTGATAATGGCCGGCGACGTTGCAACTCCACCGGTGCAACGTCGATAGGCGATTGCTGAGCTGGGATAGTTGCAACACCCTGGCGTCCGCACTGTTACGACGGGAAGCTATGTCCTTGGGGGGGTCTATGGCGGTCAGGAACCCGGCCTCGAGATTGGCGTCTGCGCAAATGTTCGGGGGGAGCATGTCGGGAAGGGTCTCGAGGAAAGCGAAGCTGGCGTCCATCTGCTGACCGACGAGGTCGAGCATGTTTGCACTCCAGTCCATGTCGTGGTCAAGCCACATGGGAGCGGGCTCGTCCATCGGCACTTGGATAACTGGCTCTTGTTTGGTCGCTCTCTCCACGACCGAGTCGGATGGCGGCGGTTTGGATGGAATTGAGTCGGGGATGAAGCTGGGATTGGTCCCGGAGCTGGGTGGCATGCTGGTGCTGCTAGGATACGAAGCCAATGTGGTGTCGAGATCGGAAGTCTCTGATGTAGGCGGAGGAGTAATTTCTGCTGTGGTTGGGGGAGTGATGTTGATGTTGGTCTCCGACTTCGAGGTCGTCCTTGCACGCGATGGCGCCTTGCGGATAGCGGATGGGGATATTGGGGAGGACACATTGCGGGTGACCGTCTCTACCGAGCGATACATACTCGGACGGCCTTTGGGCAAGCTGGAGCTGTAGACGCACTGAGCGCCTTGGCGGAGGCAGCGAATGCACGCGGCCGTCTCGTCGTCCCCGGCACGAGAGCATCGCAACTTCTGGCCATGGCACCGATCACACGATTGACGTCGAGAAGGGGTGGAAGTCAAAGCCATGTTGTCTGGCATGTGAGGAATGATTTGCAAGGACGGAAGAGTTTATAAGGACCCAAGGGGACGAAGTGGGACAGGTTAAAAGACGATATATGCGGGGCTGTGAAGGGAAATACAGAGCCCAGGTAGTAGTGTGGCCCCCACTCAGCCGATGTCGATGCAGAAATTCAACAGAGGCGCCATTCCGCGAAGGAATGATCTTATTTGGTCTTTAGTATTATTTTAGTAAGATACGCCATCAGTCAACGTCAGCTGACTGGAGGTGTTCTTCCGGATCGGCTTGTGGTTTTGGATACTCCACGTTTTCGTGCAATCTTGTAACTATTCGCAACCTTGGCACGCCTGCGAGACATCAATTCTGGGGTGCTGGTGACTGATGTTATCGGTCCTTTCCCGGGTGTTGCGTCTGGAGCCTCTACGACTACCAGGATATCGTGTTCGAAACCATTCGTCCCCATACCATTGTATGTAGCACCACTAGTCTTCTCATTGTCTTACCAAGAGAATCCTTTTTAGCATGCCTACGTCTATCCTGGTCGAATTAAAGCCGGGCGTATCTATTCGGGGAATTGTCCGTAGCAGCTTACATGGGCTTGTCTTGCCTAAGCCAGTGACATAAACAGAATGCCTCCTCCAGGATGGGGTGCCTTGCTTGTCAGGTGTGGGGGGGGGGTTGGTTGTCTGCAAGGTAACGAGGGAGTCATATCTTTGGTCTTGATATCTCCGGAGGTCGATGAGCCAGGTACATACCAGTAGGGAATAGTGGGACCCAACACTAAGGACTCCGCCGGTGAAAGTTACAGCCATAGTGTGCCTGCAGGATGAGTAGTCGCTTGGTGGGCCTGGATATGGAATTATCTGACATTTTATCATAGTTTTATGGATATTTTACAATATTATTTATTATCATATAACATCCTGATACGTTTCATAATCCGAATTGCTTCACGTTTGCTCGATTGGGCTGTATGTCAAACTTGTTGATTGGCCAAAGTCAGCTTACTTGCGGCGGAGTCCCTGTATACAATCGTGGACTCAATTGACCGTGTTTCCATTTCTTCTAATCTTGCCCCGTATCCTTCTAGATTGTTAATTTAATTCTCTGTTAGACTGTTTTCATCGGTCTTTTCACTATCATATTAGAATCTAGTATAGAGCGCCTCTGTCGAATTACATAGTATACGGAGTCGAATATAGCTGCCTAGCGAATTATACTGACACTAGTATAATCTCCGGCCTGAAGGGAGCATCGCATCTTCCTCCCTCAAATCCGACAGCACAGATCCTGCCGATCTTTGATTCGACTAAGCTTGAGCACGGGCTGCGCCTTGCGGTGGGTCTGACGCTGTCACATCCCAACGAAGCCGTTTTGCACGAACGAACCAATCCGAGTCGCGATATCAGATCCCTGGCTAGAGAGACCCTGGTATCGCACGCCTCAACACTGCCCCTGAGCTGGCATTCTCGCTTCCCATCGGCGTTATTTGACTCAGCAATGCTAGCCTTACGGTCCACGACTAATGAGCGTCTCGCTTGGTTATTGCCGTTGTTTGGCGTTGGACCAGATCCCAAGGCTTGTCTCATCTTAGCTTCCTCCTCTTTTTCCACTTTCTCCTCTTTTTTTTCCACGCCATCAGCTTTCTCCTCTTCCTCCCGCTTCTCTTCTTCTTTCGCCCCCTCCCTCTGCCTTTGCCCCTCCTCTTCCTTCGCCCCTCCTCTTCCTTCAGTCCGAATACTAGCCATGCCTTCTTTTTTAGCAAAAAAACTGATCAGTCCCTGAACAATGGCATCCCTGGGCTCCATGGTCGGTCACATTTACCAGGCGTTCAGTCCATCCCAGCTCCCACCGAAGAAGGGCGATGCCCTCAAATTTAGCATCCTGGGGGCTGCGAACATTGTGTACGTCCAAAATCTACGCTCAGAACCCTACGTCCAAGAACCCCCATATCTGGCCTCAACCCTAACCGTATACTTGTCAGACCAATGGCTCTGATCACGCCCGCCAGATCGCACCCCGAAGTTATCATTCAGGCAGTGTCGGCTCACGATAAGAAGAAAGCTTCAGGAGTTTGCGAAAGCTAAATCCATCCCAGAAGCCAGAGATTCCTACGAAGGTGTGCCCCTTCTCTCTCTCTCCTCTCTCTATCTCCAGACTAACAATCCAAGATATTCTCAACAACCCCAGCATAGACTGCGTGTTCCTCCCGCCCCCGAACTCGCTCCATTATGAATGGGCCGACCGCGCCGTTCGCGGCGGCAAACGCGTGCTGGTCGAGTGTCCAATTCTACCGAAGCGGAAGTTCTCTTCAACCTGCCAGAACTGTCGGGCCCAACGGCCCCGTCCTGCTCGAAGCCTTCCACAGCTGCCGGCATGATCTTTATTCCGCTCCCTCATCGGCCACAACCAGGTGGAGCACGTCCACGCCTTCTCCATGATCCCCTGCTGACCTGGTGGGGCACCAGCAAAGACGACATCCACTTCAGCTACCCGCTATCCGGCGGCAGCATCATGGCGATGGGCACGTACAACATGGCCGCGCTACGAATGACGCTGGACACCGAGCCGAAGGAGTGTCTCAGCTGCGATGTGCATTCTTACACGTATCGGCGAGGCGTCCACCACGCTGAAGGACCACACCCAATGGACACCGTCGTACGTCACCGTCACCCAGAAGGAGGTTGTTGTCCCTGACACGGCCCTCCCAGCATCGCAGATAAAACTGCTGAAGCGCAAGCTGGCCCTCCATGGCTTCATGCACGGTATCTTCTGGCTCCGCATTGACATCCATGACGAGTACCATATCCGCGACCATGAGTCCGGCAAGGTTGTCCACTGCTGGGAGACTACCAACTAGCGCAAGGCTTATATCTTTAAGGGAGCTGGCAACGAGTTTGCTGATCTTCCTAATGAGCTGTTCTGGATGTTGTATTGGTATTAGCTAGAGCAGTTCGTAAATAAGGTCAAAAGCCGCGAGACTCAACACTGGATCAGTGAAAAGGACTTGATCGCGCAAATGAAGATGATTAATATGGCCTATGAAAAAAGTGCTCTTGGCCCTCGGCCTACTAGTTCGTTCCATGGAAAGTAATAGAATTTAGCGATGTGCTTGGGATTGCGATATTTGATTCTTTCTCTTCACTCCACTACAATTTCTGATCAGGTTCGGTCGCGCTTTGTACCTAATACTTATAATATTGCCTTTGTTGGTGTCATCAAAATCGCATTTAACCCGAAGAACGGGGTTATCCAGCCCAATTCTCGTTTCTAGTTTCAGATCGTACATTGTGAGCTCCTTGCTGCTGGTACTCATGCATTATGCGAGGGATACCAGTCAGATCAAGCCTGCAGTAGTTGGTACATAATTCTTAAACCGGCGAAGGAAACAATAAACAGCCAAGTCACTTATGTGACGAAAACCTAGTAAAGACTCCAGTACTCAGCCGCGCAGCTAACATTTCGCTCATCCATTGGATTGACACTCGGGGAATATAGAATTTACTCTTGAAGGGCAAACACTAACTCCAATTAGAAGTGGCTTGAGTAACTTAGTACAACACGAACTTAATGCCATTGTATCGTGAACAAATCCAGCAAACCCCGTCCAGACAATGACACCTCTATAATTAGAACCTACAGAAAATTTCAACCCCGCTTTCCAAAAAAACTTCAATTTCCGACGCGGCACCATCGGAATCGGAGGCAGTGCCGGATCGGCGATATTGCCATCGATATGGGACTCTATTATCTGTTATAGGCTGAGTCCAGCGGATTCCTGCACCTACTGTGGGTACCGAGTCAATTTCCGGCCTTGTCTATTTTTATACGTCCAAGTAATCTTGTCTGATTATGTACCTTACTAGCCTCTTAAGTCTTCTGAACAGCCCTAGCCTGGTGATCTTGTTTCACTTCGTGGCAAGGCAGAGAGGTCCTCACGTTATATCAGCTTCAGCTTTGATGACTTAGTCATTAAATCCCTCGGTTATCTCTAGCTCGGTTATCTCTAGAAGTAAGTATTATCATAGGCTATCAAGAATGAAAGAAAGTCTGAACATGGTCTTTAAGCTTACATTCAATAATACTAAACAAAAATGGTAAGACTGCTTATAGCTCTGGTTGAGACGGTACAGCTAACCAGCCGCTTTGAGATTACCCCTCTCGGATATAATAAGCGAGGTAGTATCTATATTCGTTAAATATTTCGACTAAGAGTTGACTACGACTCTTAGCGTAGTCTAAAACTTTTACTTTTCTATCAAACGCCTCCAACTGAAGGTGTGACGCCACGAGCACCGATAACAGCAGAAGGAGCGAATATACCACTGTAGAGCATACCCCTCATACTCAATTGCACAAAAGTCAAAACGCAGATAATTAGAGATCAGCCACTCAGGTTCATAGATATAATCTACATGAAGGTAAAATATAATCATATCGCATGCCCCTGATATTCAATTGAATAAACCTTCGACAAATGTTGGATGTCAAGGCCAGACCACTCGCCAATTGGTGTTTTGGTCGAATGGTCAAAAATAAGACATGCTAACACAAAAGAGCAGGAGATCAGAGCGTCAGGTGTATGGATATGATTTCCAAAAAGATACATCAATTAGTCGATCTATACTTCCCTTGTTTGAAGAATTGATACTCGGTCAATATACTGCTGCTGAGTTCTCGAACTATGGATATAAATTCCAGACTGCAAATTTTATGTCGGACCGCATTGTGGGACGAATTACTAGGATTATTCTGTTGGAGGACACAGATATTATCACTATGCAAACTAAATCAGGGACCTTGTGAGACTTTGGAAGTTTGAATGATTGATTCCAGGTCATAGCTGCGCGTTTAGGCAACAGAACCATACCACTGGACCAAAATGTCACTTTGACCAGGCTAAGGGTCTGGTCAGTCCTTTGTCTCGGCAAGCATCTGGCCATTGGGACATCTATCAACGCATTCTTGTTTGTTACGGCAGGCGCCCCCTGCTTTTGATGTAGCACTCAAAGAGCCTGTAGCGCCAAGCAGGAGGACAGAAAGATTCATGTCGTGTAATAGATTCAATCCGTCGCACTCCTGTGCCTGCTTGTTACTAGTATGCATATTCTCCATCCCCTTTCCAGGGCAAATATGGCGAGATAATTTACGCCGGATAGCATACCTAGTTAAAGCTCGGCATGGAAGGCTCTTGGTGCTGGCGAACAGGGGCGATTAGCAGCTCTCTGCTATCAATAAACCCGCATAATTCGGATTCCATTACTTAAAGAGCAAAAGCAGAAAAAAAAAAAAAAAAGAAGAATGCTGTGGTTAGAATTTCTTCGGATAGGCTACATGATATTCTCAATTGTCATTAGGGGTTGCCCTACAAAGACGAGGGTTGTCCCATCAATCAGTTACCGGTTATCTTGAATGAATTATATGATCTTATTATCACCTCCACGTCGTCGAGCGAAGGGGTGCTTCTCGGGAAGAGGAATTCACCCTGCCGATGTTGAGACGATGCACGGGCGTGTATTGGAGTAAGGTGAGGAAGTAATGACGATTGAGGATGCGGCGAGTCTGGCGGGGTTGGTGCGTAGCGTCAGCCAAGTCAACGCCATTGATATGACCCTCCCGGATACCGAATGTCAGCCTGCGCGAGATATGAGATGGAACGCTATTTGCGATAAGCAGCGGACTTAATTGGCTGAGCTCGGTCTTGAGAAGGTTAGAGAAATGATACTCAAGAAGTTGTTTCACCAGTTTGAAAAATGTGAATTTACTACATGTCATAACATGTTTGGGCCATATATAACTCTATACAAGCTCTGTATATTCTTCCGAGGACCCAATAGCCGACAAGCATCTCCAAACAATAAGCGTTTTTGACCCGGATCGGGGCGTAAGTTATCGTAGTGATTAATTCTGGATGGCGCAGAGCTTAAATGGGCCACAACTCTAGCTAAGCCACACAGAGATCCGATGGTTACTTTCCGAGGACTGGGCTTTGTCCATAAAAACGTAAAAAATAAAAAAGATAAAAAAATTCATCTACCATGCACGGGCTGACTTATCTTATGTGAAGCCAGTATATCGTTGAATAGGAACGTTGACGTTACTCAAATTCAAATGACTGGAGTGCACCTTCTATAAGAACCAGCTGCTGCGCGGAAGTGCCCTCAGGTTTCCAAACCGCATTGATCTTGAATCCAGCCTTGTTCAGCAGAGATTCCCACTCTTTTTTGGTTCGTTCCGCTGACGAGAAAGCAGTCATCATAGTCATGTCGCCAATAGCAGCCACCCATGGAACATTGGTCTCCGGCATAGCTTTCTCATGAATCAAGAGCAAAGAGTTGGGGCTCATTGCCTCACGAGGTCTCGACAAAATCTCCATGACCTGCTTGTCCGGCCAGTTGTGGAGAACAGTGCGGAGGTAGTACGCCTTTGCGCGTTTGATAGGCTGTTCGTCGAAGAAATTGTGGGCTTGGATCTCGATGTGACTGGGAACATCGGCAGTCTCCTCTCAAGCACATGTGGTAAGTCCTGCAGAACAAGTCTGCCCGGCAAACTAGAGAACTTTTCGCGGAAGGTCTGGAGGTCTTTGCCTCGACCGCCACCGACGTCCACGAGAAGAATGTCGGAGGGGCTCTACACCTGTAGTTTCTCCTCAACTGGGAAAAAGTCCAGCCAACTCTTCTCGTCGCGACGATACGGCGAGGCCATTACGGTGTCGAATGTGTTTTGGTAATAAGGGTTTGACGACATGTAATGAAAGTATCCACGGTCGGAGCCGACTGCAAAATTGAATGGGGAGTCTTCAATATTATCTGGATTCTTCCAGCCTTTCTGCATGAAATACTCGGGAAGCTGGGCAACGAAGAGAAAGAGGTGAGTGCTGAACGTGTTAATCGCTTGCTGATCCCTATATAACGTGACCAGCTTACTTACAAGAAGATCACTGCTGCAGACATCCAACACGATGAAGTATAAGCCGCTGTAAATGTCGTGGGAGAGAAAGTGTCAGGGTTATGTTGCTTGAGAATGTCCACAGGTACGAGGGACTTCATGATCCGCCCTAGTTCTCATCAACACCAGACCAGAATTTGTGGAAAGATTAGGGACATGTGTATACCAACAAGCTTTGGATCGGCTTGAACATCTTCCGAAAGCTGGCTAACGCGCACCTTGCCATCTTCATTCTCAGACGAGCGCTTGATGATTGCATCGAAGAGCTTCAGATCTACCGCGAGACGAACTGCGATGGCTTGGTGGCACTTGAAATTCATTAGCCAGGCCCGCGTCCGAGAAATCAACTATAGGGAGGCCCAGAATTACCGTATAGAGAAGCCTGAGGGTCTTATCCCAAGGAGGTTCACATTGGCTCCTCAATCGATCGCAAGCTTGATAAAGCTCAGCTCGCTGCTGCAGGTCCAGAGCTTCGAGATTGCCGGAAGAAGAGAACAACTCAATGGACGCAATAAGCTGAGAAGGTCCATTGTCAAGGTTGAGGCAGAAGAGTCGGCAATTCTATAAACCTGGAGAGCCACGCTCATGTGATTAGAAAGCTATCCAAATGAAGCAAACGACAATATATCTGGAATGGAATGGACAAAGATTTGAGGTAAATTAATCAGTTGTTCTCCTCCCCTCCCTAACCCAAAACCCATACCAGCGCTGATATGATATGGAATCCAGAGTGCACTCTCTTGAGTCTTATTGTGACATGATACGCCCTGAAACAGGGCAGTCAAAAAAGCTTCCTTTCATATGCTTAATAAAAGAATGCGATGAATCCTTTGAATCTGTGAATAACTAGCGTATCTATAGCAAAAGGGTATATTTGTCTGGTTAATGATTACACTGAATTCTTCTTATTAAATAAGGATATGCTACTAAAAGTCCAGTTTAATCCTTATCTTAACCATAACATCAAGCCAGGCTGCACAGAAAGTATCAGCAATAGAATTATCTCTCATTACTATGAATATATTAATGAGAGAAGAGCCTGGTGTACTAAATTCAAATAATTTATTAATAAGCAAGACTGTATTAAGCTGCTGGAATATTTTAAAGCACATCTTTGTCAGGGAGTCAAAACAAAGCTGAACTCTATGAGATTATTGGACACTTTCATTATAATTAGAGTGTCATTCGGTGCGGATTGGTGCAGATTCTACCCGGGTAGGACCCAACTCGTTGCGGATTCGGTGGCAGATCTCGGGAATCGAACTCATTGCGGGTTCGGTGTGATTTTTTGATGAAAACCCGCAGAATCCATGTTTTAACCCAAACAGCGGCGGTCAGATTAAGGTGAGGGTCCTTAACCTGGCCAGACCTGGCCATTGCCCACTCTAACCCCACACTAGATCGTAGATACATAAAACAATAATTACATGCTCTGCAATAATTTAGCATTGATATATTGTGAATATTAACCTATCAGAGGATCAATGACCCTGCATCTCGGCTAGAATGACAAGATGGCCCACTGCATCCAAAGCCTTTTAGTGCCCACCTTGGGAATGGCTGTGAAGGCACTCCCAGATGACATATCATTGGGCAGATCTAGACTAGAAAAGTACCCAGACGGTGCCCGTGAGCTCTCGTTTTTACTAATGTCTTTTGCCATAGGTTCGTGTAAAGTCTGCCGCCATTGAGCCAATCATCGGGTAAATTCAAAATGAATAGAGCAGATCAGGCGTGAAAAAGTAGTGTCTTACTCTTAACCCTTGTCACTTAATTTTGTCATGAACAGCAATCTGTCTCCTGGTCAGGATTGGGGCTCTCTATTAAGCTCTTGTTCAGGAGTACGAACATCAAAGCACCCCAGGGTCTTCTAATATAAACTTCCTCCTTGAATATAGTCCTGTAACCAGTTAGTCCTCAATAAATTAAATCAAGATCTACTAGTATTATAATACCTCAGTTCTTGTAAGATTAAAATCTAGTGAATAAGTTCTCTATTAGTTATTTCTTCGATGACTTCTTTATAGTCACTCCTAGAATTACTTTAATCAGGTATCTTTTTAGTATTCCTGGCTATGCCACCTTTGTGGGGGTTTTATCTATATTAGGTCTATATAACACAGGTGTGAATAACAGTATTATTGTTAGATGATTATTATGTTACATCACTCAAAAAGGAAAGTCTTAGTAGTTTTATATGAATTAAAATTAGAATAGATTAATCCTGATCTGCCCTATATTAAACCACAAGCTAGATCTAGATCAAATTCTTTAATCTAGAAACCTGGCGGATCAGGATCAGGGTCCAAAAGTTAGATCCAGATCTGCCCCATTTTGAGGTGGGGTCTAGTTCGGAGGTTTCCAAGGTCTTATGTAAGCTGTTGTCAGTTCCATAACATTATCATACTTGCCCACTGATCAATGAGAGCTGCAACTACGTAGGTATAGCATCACTGTGTACGAAGGTGACAGCACCTCTCGGGATGACAGCTTCTTCTATTCATCTCTCTGTTATCCATCTCTCTTTTATCCATCTCTCTTCTGTTCATCCCTCTTCCATCCATCTCTCTTTCATCTCCCCTTCGTCCCTTTGACGCTTATCTCCTAAAAACGGTCCTGTTCTCACTGAACATGGAAAATCCCCGGGTGCTTCTTGCACGAAGCCTTCCTACGCTGACACAACTTGGGGGAACCACCGAGCCGTCAATCTCCAATGAAAGTCTCTCTGCATGTTATATGCACATCTGGCCAGATTTTCAACGCCAAGTACTGGACGCTTACAACTCCATAACTTTCACCAGTGACATTAGTATTACTGATTCCCCCGAGGGCGATTTCTACTGTGTCGGTAGTGAGCTGGGCTTGACAACTCGCTTCGTGCGATACGTGTGTGACCCTGTCACAAAAGCTTTATCTGTATCAGATCTATCCCTACAGTTTGGCGATATGCAGTCATTTCGCCAGCACCCCCTCATCATTCCTGATGTAACCTTGGCGATCCTGGGGTCGAGTCCGGCTCGGCTCATTGCGGCCGGGGAACTGAAAACATGGTGGACAGTCAACCTTGAAGAAATAACTGTGATGTCGGACTTGGACGAGCGGCGGTACCTCCAACCTCACATCGGTGCGCTATTCGAAGTCTGATTGTAGGTATTGCTCTTCTAACAATACCATAGGCAAAGTTGTTTCCTACATGCGAAGATTTGACCTCCGCTACTCATTCCTCTCAACCTATATGTCCACCGTTTTTGTTAAGAGAGAGGATGATTTCTGCTTCCACCTATCAATGCCTATCAGCCAAGACGCTACCAATCCCTCTCTGAGGGAATGCTTTCTCGGATTTGCAGCTATGGCGACACAAAATCCCGTCTATAAAGAGAGAACAAAAATCGATACAAGACTAGTAAGCCCGCTGTTCTACCTAGTATGCAGATTTTGATGGGAGAAAACAGCTTCGCTCTTCCGGACAGCCCGGTTTCGTTTCTTTCCCTCGCCAATCTGTGTACTGCAGCAGGTTTGGCGACTCTACGGACTCGCTCACCCCTCATATCACCTCGGAATCGATCGCCATTGGCTCCGACGGTGTCGCAAGCCGCATCTTACATTGCGTTGAGCTCCTGTCATCTCCTCGTTTAGGATATCAGAAGGCTGTGTTTGAGGTGGAGTCTGGTGATGTGCGCTACATTGCAAAATGCTGGTCCGACGACCGATGTGAAAGGTATGACTTTGTCCTATGACCAACAACACCTAGAGCACTAACAAGATCTTTCAAAACATAGCGCTGCTAGTGAACTCGCGGTGTATGAAAGACTGCGCGAGCTTGGATTGAGTGGGCTCGAGAACTTTGCCCGAGTTGTGTTCTCCGGTGATATCATATGTTCATCAAAATTCCCTGGTGGCAGGATCCTTGTTCTGGAGAAGGTACCTGGAGAACAGCTATTTGGTATCTGGAACGACCTGTCATTTGCTCAGAAAACCCACGTGTTCAGCGAATGTAGTAGTGCCATCCGGACACTGCGGTCAATTTCCATTCGACTAGTGGATGCCGGCAGGCACAACATTCTCTATGACCGCAGAAGTGGGAAAGTGACCTTGGTTGACTTCGAGGCGGTTGAAGACCTCGGCGCAGGAGAGCGAGTGACATCGCTTAACCCTGAGCTAGTTTCGATCTTCGGTGTCGCCGGGATGTCCCAATTTATCCAAGGTGGATAATCGCTTGCTCTCGTCTTTTTGAAGTATGTTGTACAATCAGGTGTTCAAATCCTCCACTGGCCTCTCCCCTGAGTATTGACATAATTACTTACCGAGCTACCCGCATTTACTGAACCATCCACCCTGTATTAGGGTATTCAAGACATGCTAGGATCCTTACTGATCCGGCTACGCTGGAGGTCGAAGCTTCTCAGTGGGAGAGTTCCATTAGCTCCTACGTTGCCTATTCGGGACTACCCTGTTCAGTATTTTAGTACCCCATAAACCCAAGACTGGAACAATTCTTTTTCCCCTGTCATATTATGAGCTACATCGTTATTATCAGACCCCCTTCCAACTAAGTGCCCTCGTTCCACCCCCGCCAACCAACGCGCCCTTCCCGCGCCACGAGCACATGTTGCTTGCCACATGTGGAGAAACCCAAGCAGAATCGTGTGGCAAAGACCTCATCACACAGAGCAATCTAAACAAAGGCTTTTCCGGCCAGCCCAATGGGAATGACGTATTTGTCAGTCATGGCCCAAAATCCAGCTAGATGAGCTGTTTCAGTCGTGGTGGAAAACCGTAGCCGTTTTTGTCCATTGCCGAGTCATCTGAGACTGGATCCTGTATAGATGCAGTGGGCGTATGCTGGTTGGTCCAATGTAAGCATCTACAATTGTTCAGTTGGTCATGGACATAATCAACGCGGGCCTAGCCACGCTTGCCAATGACACCGCATAAAGCACTTTACAGTTTTCCCTTATGTCATACCAGCCTACATCTTGTTCATCACAAATACCTCTGACCGGTAAGACAATGATATGCGAGCTGGCTTGATGGCTATGGGCAGACGCCAAGAATGGAGGTAGGCCCATTCTAAGACAAATTCTGCGTCAAATGCATGGTGATCCTCCTAGTATAAAGTAAGGTGATGAGTTTGGGGTCTTGTTATGCTCCAGGATCCAAACCTAATCTAGATCAGGCCAGGTTGATGAATTGAGTAGGTCCTGGGGTGGTAGACTTTTATATAGTGGTATTGATAGTCATTGTTTTGGAAAACAATGTGTATACTCGAAAGTCTATATCCTTTGATATTGTCTTTGTTATATCTCTGATTTTGACCAAGTCCATGTTTCTCAGTAAAAGAATTTCATATACAAAACTCATAATTTAATCAAGGCTCTGTGTATAGTAGATATATATTCAACCGCCATTCAATGAAACGAGCAATATATGCTATAATTCTTATATAAACCCCAAGCTCATGTCCCACCAAGGCAAAGAATTAACAGTATCTCTGATAACAGGGATAGGATTTGGCTGATCTCTGTGGAAGTGACTCCCTGTTCCACTGTTTTGTCATTGTGTATGTCCAACCATCTGCAATATTCTACATAGTCAAAACAGCGTTGTTTTTTATCCTTTCAGAAGCTTTTCCATTCCTATTTTCACAATCCCCCCTCAGACTGATCAGTGAATGACCTACTCTCCAGAATATCAAGGTTCTTGCTCAGTACTATGACTATTAATTTAGTACTACATGATTCTCTTATCAGAAGGAATAAGTACATACGACCATAGGGTGTGGAGAACAGGGCTTCCCGTCCGCTCAGCCGTACTTAAGCCACACGCCGGCCGGTTAGTAGTATGGTGGGTGACCACATGCGAATCCCGGCTGTTGTATGTTTTTTCTTTTTCCTCCTAATTTTTTGATTTTTTACTATTTATTACCACTCTCCACTGTCATTAGTATTATGTGGTTTGTTGATTCTGATTTTGACAGCGCCTTTGATCCAAAATCACGTCATTATCTGATTGATTGTATATCCAGTGACACGCGCATACGCCTAAATGTGGTACCGTTCCTGGTTTTTTAATATCCTCATATTGAATGGAAAGGCCCATTCATTACTACCAGGTTGAGCGCAGTTGATGTGTAGGCGTTGGCGCTCAACCGTCTACTTGCGGTTTGCCGGGTTATTCGAGTAGCTCTGCATCAAACACCAATATCCAGGCACATGATCGGTCCAAAGTTTGCCAAAGCCTTCGATGTCCCGACGCCAGTCTCGCTGCAACTCAGCAGCCACCGCCGCCCAGTTCATGAGTTGCACGCCCGCATGCGCCATCCGCTTATGAGCCGCCTCGCGGGTATGTTCCTTGAAGGTGCCGGAAGCATCCGTCACGACGAAAACATCGTAGCCCTGCTCGATCAGACTCAGCGCCGGGAATGCGACGCAGACTTCGGTGAGAACACCACTACTCAATCATTAGCATCGATTCCATCTTGGAGTGAGACCAGCAGGCTGGGTAGATACCTGACGATCACCTGTTTCTTTCCAGTTGCCTTTACCGCCTTGACAAAGTCTTCATTGTCCATGGCATTGACCTGGCCCGGTCTCCGGATCAAGGGAGCATTAGGCAGGGCATCCACAATCTCCTGGACAATGGGCCCATTGGGACCAGTGTCGAACGAGGTGGTCAAGACGGATGGTGCGTTGAAATAAGCGGCGGTATTCACCAAACCCAGTACATTGGTCCGAAATTCTGTAGGCTCGAAGTCGCCCACCAACTGAATAAGTCCGCTCTTGATTTCACGTTATTCCTTGTCGGCTTTTTGCTTATCGCAAACTCCAATCAAACTGACCTGATGGTCGACAAACAGGAAAGCACAGTTGTCCCGGTCGAGGCGTTTGTATGCTGGGGGCATGGTGGCAGGTAAAATAACGAACGGTGCAACCGAATGCTACTTTGTGGTGCGATAGATTTACCAATCTAACAGATGCTAGGACTCGTTACTATTTCTCTATATAGTATATCCAAAGACACCGGTCGGATGATCTAAAAATTTGTCATCCGAATTGATGGCATCACGACTCCTGCTGCTCTGCATACTTGTAGGGTACCGTTGAACTCAATTCACTGGGAAACAGATCGCCAAACCACCCGGCTTGGATGTAACCCCCCTAGCAAGATGATCTCCTCTGTCTTCTTGACTTGTTTACCTTGGAATTTTGTCAACGTTATAATCTGTACGAATAACAAGAGCTTAGCTGGTTTAATCGGTGGCCCCAACCATTTACAGCATTCTTTACGTGAGCCCTAACCGTTCAATCTTCCTTCAATTGAACTCAATTACTGAAGAGTGCCCGCCACCCCATGTTGATTACAACACAAGGGTCTTGTCTACGCAGCAGAGCGTTCAGAAGAATATTCTGCCGTAACAATAGACATGATATGCCGTTTTAAAGACGTCCCGCCGGTTGGAAGTAGGACTAACTAGCAGACTCTTGACTTCATTTAGTCAGCGTGCTTTTCGCGAACGCAAGGAGCGCCATATCAGAAATCTCAATGCGGCGATTTGCCCAATTACCGTGAGATATATCGACTCTTGGGGAAGACGATGATCAAATGCGGCAAGAAATCACGACAGCTCCGGAGGGTAATCGTATACTTGATGAACTGGTGTCGACGACGGTTGATGTCCGACACGGCGTGACATTTGCTTTAATGTACACAAGTTTCGCCGATTTAATCGCGCCATGAGACCATAGGAAGGAACCCTCCGGTTTCAAGAAGGCAAACCTGTGAGATAGTATGCAACTACTTGCGCGCGCAGCCGCAATGTGATGGTGTAGGCTTCTTTGCTGGCAGGCGTTTGTGCTGTTTCCTCGCCTTTGTCTTGCGTTTATCTCGTTGCCGCCCTAGAAGGGCTCTCGACTCATGCGTTATCTGTCAATGGCTAGGTACACAGTATAGAAGAAACTTTAGTCTAGACAGTTCCGCTCGACTTGCGGCGGCATGTTTCTCGTACTGAGCATCCGTTATTGGCGTACACCTCCCACGCGCCGATTCCACGCTGTAAGGGTCGCTTATTCTTCCCCTTCCCATCCCTGAGTAAATTTTCTGGCCTGTACCTTGGATCGGCGTTCATGCGGCGAACAACAGACCCGTGGATTTTGGCCTCCTTTGGAAGGTCACGTCTCTCCCCGAGGGGAAGAGGCCATCGAACAGGTTTCCAGGATCCATCGGGTTGCAATCCCATCCTCCGAAACGGAAGGTATTCCACTGCTTTCCATGTTACAACGGTGGGCAACGAGGCACCGTGACCGTACTGTAGGAAGTCATGTACATGTCCGGTCGTAGCTGCCCGTCGGAGCGCGGAATCGAAGCCGAATCTGTCTCCTGTATCGCCTTGGTGGTCTCCATCTGTTTGGCCGCCAGTGCTGGGCTCCAGATGGTCCAGAAGATCGCTAGAACCAGCTGAATCATCAAAGCAATGGAAGAGCTTCATCTTTTCGGGATCAAACTGAAGCCCCGCACGCTGCGCCTCCTGTACCATCCAAACCAATGGCACATGGCTCAGTGCTATGTCTTCATCATCATCCAATTCTAATCCGCCGCCAATGTCCGAATGGCATCCGGCGAACCATACCTCCTCGATATCCTGAGACACATTCTGGTTTTCGTCGCGAACACCATCCTTAACTTCGGAGAGCGCACTGGCCGGGTTTGGGTGGTCTACATCCATTCGCGGGTGACCAACGTTTATGGTTTGTGGATGAGCAACAGGGGCTGGTCGATAGAATGCCTCCCCTGTGCAACGTCCTTGTTGTCGTTTTGAGTGGTCCTGCGTTTTGCGCCGCGTCGACCGCGTGTTAGGATTGGTATCTGAGATCAAGTCCTGTCGAAACTTGGCACGATGCTCGTCGATAGCGACCGCATGCCGGATGACCTGGGCTGAAGTTTTTGCCGTGAAAGGAAACAAAAACTTATTACGATTGACCTCAAATCGTGGGATGCTGTTGACGGTGTCAAATAGTCCCAGAAAACGAATCTGTGACACCGGACGACAGAAGGTCTCCCGTAGGGCTTTCATGTACTTATACAAGTCATCTTTTTCTGTCTGGTCAGCGTCGACGCTGTTGGTACATTTTGCCCACTTGGAGAAAGTCGTCCAGAAGTAGCGGACTTTGCCTTCATTCCCTGCCTCTAGCAGGCCAATGTGGTCTAGCATTTCCGCAACCATGCGAGCAACATACGCTCCACGGCTAAACCCAAAAATGTATATGGCATCTCCGGGGCGATAAAAGCGCATGAGGAACCTGTAACCGTCAATGACGTGTTCGTCAAATGTTGTTCCTGCCGCAGCGTCCTTCATATTCGAAAACCATCTTTTCAGCCGAGTCTGGCTGAGATTACTGGCCTGCCAAATCGAGGTGGTATACGTCCCAAACCCCGGCTGATAATAATGAAATTGACGAGGGTCATTGCGGTTCAGCATCTTCCATTAGTGTTAGGGTAAACTGAAGGAACTGGCCCACGTTTCTAACCACTCACTCTGTAGATCTTGAGAACATTACTGTCGGCTTCGTCTCCCCGGAATTTATAACCCGTCCCATCAAAACAGAGAACAAACCCTCTGCTCTCTGCGATCGGGGCCCGCTCCATGCTTAGATGTTGTTTTTGAAATCCGGACAGTTACTCCGTCTCGCCGAAAGTTGCGTGTGAGTTTGTTCTTTTTAAAGCGTTAGATAAAGAGAGCTGCCTTTGCAGACACCCATGGGTAACTTGTGGTGAAAATTATCGTCAAACCCACTATCCAGAGAGAGTTCTCAATGGCATCCTCTCTCTTCAACTCTGACTTATGCATTTCCTGTAGCCATATACGACACATGGAGAGACCTTACAGTTCTATTGCCTTTTGCCAAAGGTCTCCGAACGCTTGTCATAGACACATATTTCTAAGCAAACTCAAAGAGATAGGTCTAGAGCTTGCATAGAATTACAAAGTTTCGCGTAAGCCCAAGTAAAAGAAACCCTAATTGTCTACTACGTAGTTAAACTTAAACTTAGATTACTAACCAAGTCCCTAGTTAGTCAATCTCATAAGAGTTACTAATGTTTGTTTTGTTCTAATTGATCGTTTGGCGAGCGCAAGCCATCTGCTAGTTGGGTTCTATTAAGCTCTTGTGGGGCGATGCTTCCCGCTCCAGCCTCTTGAGGTCATTGAGCACCTTTTCTTACTTGGGGCGTATTACTGAAAAGATAACTAGATAAAAATCGAAAATATTCATCATTGTCGCTGCTACCCCCGGCTTATTTATACCTTGCGGTTTGTCATCATCAAGGCATCATGTCACCTTTGAACGAAGCCGCCTGGATTCTGAAGCCAAAAGGTGATTTGAAGCGATTCACTGCGGCCTACAACGCCCCTTTGGAGGGTGAAATTGTGATCGAGGTGCATCATCAACACTTTGTATGAATTGTTACTGCAGAGGCCGTGTGGCTAAAAAGTATGATAGAACCGCGCTGTTGCGATACAACCATTCGATGCCAATGTCCGGGCCCGAGAATACGTCGATGTGCCCTACCCATTCATCTTGGGCAATGGAGCTGCTGGCATTGTTCATGAAGTCGGCCCGTCAGTTACTCGTTTCAAAAAGGGCGACCGTGTCGTGTCCGACACGCCTACTTATCAGCTCAAAGAATCAAAGTACGGGGGCTGGCAGAAATATGTCGTGAGTCGAGAAGCCACGACCGCTAAGATACCGGCAAGCACAACGTTTGAGGATGCTGCCGCAACACCTTTTGCGCTGTTAACGGCTGTTTCTGCGTTGCACCTACACCTGGGGATGGGGAAACCAGGAACGAATCGCAACGGAAAAGCACTAATCTGGGGTGCTAGCGGATCTGTGGGGGGATATGCTGTCCAATATGCTGCCAGTGTAAGCTCGAAATAGCCAAATGTTATTCCTCGGCGCACAGCTAACATGGATTTCTAGGTTGGTTGCGAAGTCGTGGCAACCGCTTCCCCCCGGAAATTCGAGTTTGTTTGTGGCCTAGGCGCCTCGACTGTTTTCGACTACAAGGACGATGAGATCGTCTCGAAACTGAAGAGCCTCGGCCCCTATGACTATATTATGACGGCCTCGGGTGACGCGACAAGTGCAAATGCTATAAGCGAAGTCCTGCAACCGGACGGTGGGACATTTGCCTCTGTCCGCCCGCCAAGTGATGAAGTGAAACTGGCGAAAAATGTCCAATTGGTCTATGATTCTTTCAGCATGACTACCCAGAAGCCGGAAAATGGCAATTTCACGAGATGGTGGTATCGTGACTACCTCCCCGGAGCTCTGGGCGGAAATGTGAACCCCACCCCCTTGGAGAAGCGAGCTGGTGGCTTGAACAGGATCCAGGATGCTTGCACTGATGTTTTAGAAGGACACAGTCCGAAACAACTGGTTTTAGATCCCTGGGAGGTTGGTACTTGAACCGCTATCCTAAAATAAACGTCTATCATATAAACAACACCAAAGCTTCGCCAGCGTACGCAGTTCATTTACGAAGCATTCTCTTGGTAGACTATATCCTGAACGCGAACCCCAGACCAGCTGAGGAGCGTCATATTAGTCATGATTTCACCAGATACCGATATGTAAAAGAGTCGATTCTCGATCCCCAGTTTATTGCGTTGAGGCCGTGACTGGGGTGACCCTAGGTTAGAAGCCAAGGGATCCAAATTTCCAAGCTCAGGCATCACTGATAATCGTTCTTCTGCGAAATGATGCACCATGCAACAATTTGCCAACTTTAACTCAAGTCACAAACCAGCAATGGTTTTCGCCCTCAGCATCTCTACAGTACGTTGGGGTCAAGTTTGAGTAAAATGGAGTGCCCGTTGACCAGTATGAGGATGTTATGAGACAATGCTTGTAAATCAGTATGCTGTTTTCTAGGTGCTACATCTGGTTTTGAGAATAGCTGTGAATTTTATCATTATTTCAGCGAAAAGATACATTTGAGAACAATCTCCGGCAGCACTTTTTCTTGCCGATTTCTTTAACCAAGGGTCTGTTGACAGTGCCCCATCAAACATGTAATAATATTGGTCTAGAAACCTGACTCAAAAAACCATCGCTACCAGGTCCATTTTACTAGCAGCAATGCAACACATGACAAGGTACTCCCCCCAGAACAGAATCCAAGCCTATGGCTCCGCTGACAATTGGAGCTCCATTACCGACAAACCACTTCCTGTTGGCTTAACAACATTCACCAAGCGCAGTCTTGGATCCGTTCGATTGAAAAAGGCGGTCCACGCGTCCATGTCCCGTTCTGCAGCATTGCAGAGAGCCATCATTCCAATATCCAAGGCTCTACAGACTATTAGCCAAAACGCAGACTAGTTTGGGGTCCAAGGACAGGGGCTTACCGTGCCTCACGCTCTACCAGCCGACTCTCAGTCCCCGGTGGCATCATCACGCTGTCCATGAGGATTATGCGCGATCCGGGAGGCATGCTCTGTATTTGCATTCGTAGGATCTTCGCGGCGTATTTGTCTGGATAGTCGTGGAGGATCCACCGCAGGAGATAAACGTCTGCCTGGATGGGCTGCGGGTTATAAAAGTCATAGGGCATGAATTCAATTTGGTCGTTTACGGTTTCGCCCGACTTGTGGCAGCCTAGTGCCGACTTCAAGTCCTGGACAATAAAGCGTAGGTGCGGGTTTGCAGCCGCAATGGCCATAGAGCAATGTCCACTTGATCCACCTACGTCAGCCACCACCGCTTGATCTGGCAAGCTTGCCCAGTTGAAGCCTTCCACCAGATGATCGAGACTTAGATGATCTCTTTGGATTAAACCGGCCATGGTATCTCGAAACCGATGGGCACGCGCGGGCTCATTCTGTAAAAATTCAAATATGGGAAGCGGTGTATTCAATGCCAGGTTGAACGCCGTCTCAGTTTTTTCCTCACTTCCCGGCCATTCCTCGGCTGCAGTTGTCAGACAAGAAGCAGAACGTAACGATTCATCTGTGTAGAAGCCCACTGAGGATTGAATGTGCTCGTCAAGAAGGAGGGCCGAGTCCGGTGTGTGACTAACGTATCCGGGTTCGGGTTCGTAGAAGATGAAATGTGTCATGAGAAGCCGCAGGATCCGAGTACACTGCGATGTTGACACCCTTGCCTGGGTTGAAAGGTCTGAGAAAGTGATCCGACTGTTGACGGGCACATGTGACGCTATTTTGAAGTGACACGCGTACTGGAGTGCGGACTCAACCTGATGCGACATGCTCAAGGTAATGAGATGGTCGTGCGGCCCGGCAGCAAGATGCGAGATCTCGGTGCATGCCTCAAGAATACGGGCACGGGCTGACATAGGGGTTATTGCAGTGTTTTTGTTTGACACGGTAGGGGATGGTGACAATAGCTGGCGAGCCGTGGTACTGATTGCCGGTGAGTTGCTTTTCAGCGTCCCTGCGCACTGGCTGATGGTGGATGCGAGCTCAAGAATTGATTCCAGCATATGGTCTGGAATCGTATCATGTGCCATTGTAATTTTTTTTTTTTTTTTTTTTTTTT